GGGGGGGGGGGGGGATGCTGAGGCCCAGGGAAGGGGAGAGATGTGCAGGAGCAGCAACACCAAGTGGAGCATAAATGAGGCTGTTGGCTCAGGCCCTCATAAGGCAACATGCTGCATTGTGAGTGTCATAAGACCGGCATGTAATCTTTACTTAAGCAAAACACGCTCCATCTGGCAGCCTTGGGCTAGGGGGCGGAGATGCTCAGAACACCCCCAGCACATTGCTCCTGCGTGGAGAGGGGGCCGTGCCCGCCCTGCAAACGTGCCTTCAGGGCAGGTGTTTTAACCCGGGGTGCATCCCAAGAAAATCACCTCCTCTCTCAGGATCCTGCTGCAGGCATATGTGAGTGCACTCAGTGATGGGGCTAACAATTGCCACGTGCCTCAGACAAGACGGGTGTGCAAAGGGGTCTGGATTTAAGACTCCTGAGTGCTTGGGGTTTGTTTCTAAATAAATACCGCCATGGCCCATGGTCGCATGAGACCTGGCTCGTAGAAGGGCTGTGCCTTGTCCCCAGTGCAGAAGATGATGAGGCTTGTGATGGCCGTAGCTCCTTTGGGGACTTGGTCCCATGTGGCTGGCTTTGTGTAGAGACCACGGAGAACGTTTCTGCTGAACAGAGAAAACCTCCTTAAGGAGGAGTGCTTTGAAGACAGGATTTTAAAGAGACTTAGGATAAGAGACCAGCGGCAAAGAAACTCCAGGCAGCAAAGCCCTTGCTGTAATTAAAGCTTAACCCCTCCGTCCATCTGTTCCAGGTCGCCACTTGGTCCCTTCTCCGGCTGCACGGCTCCTGGCTGAAGAGCCCGGCCCTTAGCCAGTGCATATCTGCTACCTTCAGTGGAGGTCAGGAGTTTCCCAGCCCAGGATCCGGCCTGCCCCACTTTCCTCCACTGTCATTTTACCCTTTAAGAAAGCAAGCCCTCCCTCCACAAAGGCACCCGGCTGCTCCTGTGCGGTATTGTGGCCACAGCTTGGAGAAACCTTCCTCTGAGCATGCACAGCACTGATGTGGGCACCTGTTGCAGGCAGGTCCTGGGCTGGGAGGAAGCAGCTGGTTTGCTAGTTGCTATTAATAATGTAACCCGGGTGGTACTCCAAGAGGTCCGCCTCTCCAACTGAAGGGATGAAAGCAGGTGCACAAGCGCTGTGGGAGGTGTAGGGACTCTCCTCCCCTATAGAGCAGAGCCAGACCACCACTAGGGACTTAACCATATGCCTTTTAATATTGGGAACCCTCCCAGAGCCAGACCTCACGTGGAGCTGCCTGGCCTCTGATTGCGGGAGCTGGAAGCAGAGCTGGGACCCCCTCAGGTCGCTGCTCAGATCCTGGCTGGAGCAGGGGGGAGCCTCGTGCTGGCTGCAGCCCCTCCCAGGGGAACCTGGAGCCCAGTGGGGGCCACTCCTGCTGGCTGCACGCCGCGCTGCGGAGGGTCCCACTGCTGCCTGCAGGTCCTGCTCTTTCAGGCTCTTCTGGGGCACTGCTCCTGCCCCACTGGCTCAGCTCTTGCCAGCTCTGTGAAGCTCCTTCCTTGTTGTCCCCTCGCTCATCTCTCCTGAGTCAGCCCACGCTGCCCCTTGTATCCCTCTCCAGGTGGGATACAAGGTGGTGTCTCAATCAGGGGACATGGGGTGGGGGGGTGAGTCTCTGGGGCCTGATTGGTGCGGAAAGGGAATCCCAAGTCCTCCAATCATCTTTTGCCCTTTCAAAACCCCTGGACCAGGTCACTGCCAGCCAGCCTGTCACATCAACATGCATGCGTCACAGCTGAGACAGCAGGTGGTCGAGCGGCACTGAAAGAGCATCCCCTGAGATGCAGGGATCTGAGATTGGGGCACCGTCACCAGGGGAGGTTGGGTCTCCAGAGTCCTTTCTGCTGAAGGGGGGCCCAAGTCATAAGGGACTGAGCTGGGCAGGAAGTCGGGGTGTGACGTGAGTGCCAGTCCGGCTCCCAGTTAACTTGAGTGGGAGCAAGGCCTCACGTGGGAGTGCGTCGTGGAGTGTGTCTTCAGAGCAAGTCTCAGGCTTCATCATCTTCTTCCCCCACCACATCCTTCCTTGCTACACCCCAAGCTCTTGCAAGTAAGGAAGTGGGTACATGGAAATCTGCTAAGCGTGACTGGGCCGTGAGCAGACCTTGGTCCCGAGGGAAGTAGAAGCAAACCTGTCCCCCAGGTTAGCATGGAGGAACCTTGACCTCATCCTTGCTTGGGGCAGTAATGGGAGAGCACTGCCCTGAAACTGCAGTTTGTGCTGTAATCTCTTCGCAGAGGAGACAGCACCTGTAATGCCCTGCGGTGCTGTTCCTTCTCCGAGGGCTTTTCCAACTGCGTAGTAAAAGGAGCTGAAAGCAGCACACAGCCCCTGGGCTGCAAAACACGGAGAGGCTCACCGCCCTGGGACCAGCTGGGCGAGTTCCTGCTTGCTAAACAGAAAATAAATAGAGGAATTGGTGAGCTTCTGCGTGCACAGATGGGGGGAGGAAAGGCAGGTGCCCTTTGTCTTGTTCTTGAGAAAGAAGCTGAAATTGGTTCCTGGTGCCTATAAAAAGAGCAGTGGCCAAGGCATGGCGGGAGCCTCGTGGACAGGTCTGGGGCAGCTCCGCGAGCTGGCAGTGGCCACGTGTGCTGCCCATGTAGAGGGTGCGGTGGCAGGGGAGGAATGGCCCCATTGTGTTGCAGTGCCAAAGAGATGTCCCTTTACAGCTGTGTCACGTCATAAGGGACTCGGGGAGCTTCTGCCTCGGGGAGCCTCTGCAAGGAAAAGCACCATGCAGAGAGCTCGCAGCAAACCCAGGGCAGCGGTGTGCCTTTCCAGGCCCCTCCGGCTGAGGGAGACACCAAGAAGCCACGTGCCAGGCTGCGTGGAAACCGCTGCAGAGGGAGCAGGCTGGGCAGAATCGATTTGCAGAGGCCGCAGGAAGGAGAAGGGGAGGGCAGCCATCTGGATGCCACCGTGATCATGGGTGCTGACACAGCCATCCTCCTGACCCGCTTCAGAGAACGGGCTCTTTGAGGCAGACGGGGCCTCGTGATGCGTGGAGGAATGTCGGCCACTCCCTCACTTCGCATCCGACCTGATGCCCTGTTCCTCTCCCGCGCAGGCACCCCCTGGCCGCTGGACCCGAGGGTTTCCCCAGTTCAGTGCTAGGCCTGCAAAACTGAGAGCAGGACAGTTTGGGAAAGAAAAGCTGTGTGGAGTTGCATCGACTCCTTCTTATTTGCAAACACCCGTTCTTGCAGCCTCTCGTGGCCCTGCCTGGGAGTTACGGGAATGTGGTACCCGGCTGCCCGAGTGCTGCACAGAGAGTCGGGGAGGGCGGGGAGAACCCAAGTGGCCTTGCTCCCAGCCCTATACTCCGATTGCTAGTTTATGCCAACCCCCTGGACCTCACGAAAGATGCCTCGAGAGGCCTTTCCCATCCCTGGTTTATCATGTGTGTGTGCCTAGGGTGCTTACCACACGGTGAGTCTTTGCTATGCTAGAAGCTGTTTGCAAAGAGAGGGAGGGAGGGGCCATGTCCTTGGGAGCTTGCAGGCCAAAAAAAATGATGAGCTCTGCACAGGAAGGTGCTTTCACCCCATTTTAGCCAAGTGAAACTGCAGCAAAGAACAACTTACGTGATGTCCCCAAGGTCATAAAGGGAATCTGTGGCAGAGCCAAGAATTCAACCCACGTCTCGAGGGCCAGTTTTCTCCTTTTCCCACAGGACGCCTCTGTCCTCTGTGCCCCTTCTGCTTTGTGTGGTTCCTACATGGTCAGTGAACCTTTCATCGCCACTTATCTGGGAGCACAGGTAACAGGGCAGCTGGGTGCACTGGGTGAAGCCCTGGCAGCAGTGATCACTCCTCTGGCCTCCAGCCTATCTGCCCTGATGTTCCCAACTGTGGTGAACATTGAATAAGACTCAAAGGGAGGAAACACGGTCTTGATTTGACCGTCTGTCCCCAGGGAAAAGGGAAATACACTGAATTACATGGAAAAAAAACCCCAGTGCCATGGAATTAGAGAGGCAGAGGAAATGCTACGGTTGGGCAGTTCAAAGACCATCATCTGCAGAATACTCTTATGGGAGCCCAGCTTTAATCTTCGCACTCAGTAAATACAGGCATGTGACCCCGCAGGGCTGTATTTATTGAGGACCCACCAGCCAGCTCGGAGCAGTTCTCACTCTGGCAACAGCCATGCAGACAGTGGTCAGAGAAGGCAAGCTGAGCCCAGCAGGCCGGGTGACCTTCCTCTCCAGGACAGAAACCATCGCAGCTGCTCACAGGCTGAACAGGTAACAGGGCACAACTGGCCTTTGGCAGGGAGGAGGACAAGGCATGTGTCCCCATCACTTGGGCAGCTTGGTTGCAAAGTTGCCCCATTTGCTACCCAGACTTTTCCAGCATAAACCACCAGCTAGAGGGTCATGGATAGGATAGGGCCATGCCTGGGACAGTGTGGGGCCAAAGGGACAGCAGCTCTCTCAGATTTGGAATGAAAACGGGGTTATCAAACCTGAGTCAATCTTTCTCTCCAGAAAAGGTCACGGGCAATGCTTGCAAGTGCCACCAGCCAGAGACGGTGAACTCTATTTGGTGTCGATGCCTTAGATCCCTTGGGTGATGCTTAACTCTGGGTCACGGCCCAACATACGGTCTGAGACCAAGTACCTTGTGCTAGGCTGCCCAATTAATCTGTGCAGCTAGCTGCCCCGGGATGTCACGGTGGCTGAGAGCTCAGCAGGAGTGGGATGGGATGGGACCTAAGCCCTCCTGTTCCAGTGCAGGATCCCAGCCCCAACAGCTGGGCTCAGGAGGAAACTCGTCCCCAGGGCAGGTTGTCCCATAAGTGCAGGGTTTCTTGCACCTTCTTTCCAAGCTGTTGGTGACTGGACACCAGGCTGGATAAAACCTGGTCTAACTCAATCCAGTAATGCCTCCATGGCTGGAATTGAAGTGGGGCCTGGTGGGTGCTGAGAGCTGCTGTCCTGGCACTGGCTCCCTAGAGCTGTTTTTGCTTGTTCCAGCAAATCCCTGAGTGATGCAGAAAACAAGAAGCTTTTTGGGAAATGCAACCAGAGTCATGGGCACAACTACACAGGTGAGGGGCTGCCTGGCGCCACATTTTGCACCTTCCCCTAGACCTGGGGGGCGGTGATGAGAGGGGAACAGGGTCTGAATCTCACAGCCTGCTCTTCCCATCCAGCTGGGCAGCTTCTGGGTCCTATTGCAAACAGAGGCCCAGACAGGAGAGCTTTCTTCTGCAAGCACTGTGATCCTTTAAATGCAGACCACTGCAAAGGGGACACTGAGTCAGGTGATTCTTGCCTGCCTCTGTTCTGTGCTTTGAGATCCATGAATGAACAGTGCAATGGAAGGGCTAAAATAGATTTTAAAACATATTCAGGAAATAACCCCTCTGCATCCAATCCCTGAGCGAAATGCCCCTTGTCCACCTTTCCAAGTATCAATGCACCTGGTGAGCAATAATCTCAGGCATTGCAGTGGGTCTCAGCCCTCCCAGGGCAGGTGCAATTAGTCGTCAATTCAGCAAACCAGGCTTCGTTGTCGAGGGGCAGAAAAGATCTGGGGTTGGTGCGTCCAGCCGGGGCACCTGGGTTGATAGGACGTGCTGTCCCTGTGCTCCCCTCGTTGGCAGGAAGCTGCAGGGGCTGCTTCAGGTGAGCCCCACGTCCGTGTCCCGTACTGGTTCCTCCTCCTTGCTCCCTAGGCTGCAAAATAAGAGGAGGTTTCTATTCCTGGTGCTGGGTCCTGACTCCTTCCTCTTTCTGTTTTCTCTGTAGTGGTGGTGACGGTCCGTGGGGAGGTAAGTGCCTTCCGATAGTCCTGAGGCAGACACGGTTCTTTGGGTAGGTGTGATATCTTTTATTAGACCAACTAACTAGTTGGAAAAATTGTTCTTTGCAAGCTTTCAGGCACAAACACCCTTCCGATAGTCCTGCCTTTTAGCCAGGGATCCCAGCTAGAGACGTCTTCATCTGGGCTGAAGGCTGGCATGGCTTCCACGGTCAGTGGCCCATGGAGCCGTAGTGGCCCAGCCTCTGTGTGAATAAGGAAAGGCAGAACTGGTGCCAGTTTGCTTGTATAAGGGATTCAAGGAGGGGAAGTGCAGTAACACCAGGCATTTCCCACTTGTACAGACAAGGCTTTTATCCCAGGGACCTCTCCCACCACACAGTGCCTCAATCCTGATGCTAAAGCCTTGTTCACTTTTGAGTGGTAACAGAGACACCCGAGTCAATATAGCAATGTTCGCATCAAACTATAACATACAACCCATCTCTTCCTGTTGCACAACAAGCCTCGACCTTCCCAAAAACTCAGCCCTCCACCTATTTTCTGTCGGCTTTCAGTGTCTTTTCCAAGCCTCGTGTTCTGCACGTACACCGCTTCACATCAACCCAGAGTTTCCAGGCACTTCCCACATGAAGTCTGACCCAACCAGAACGCGCTTCCTTTCAGCGCATCCTGCTTTGACGGGCACAGCTGTATATAAGCCCCAGCTTACAACCAGGCTAATCTGTATATAGCTTTAGGCAAAACACACTCATTTATAGGATAGCTATGACGCATAGGGCTGAACTCCCTGTGGACTTACGCACTAAGTCAGGTTAACACCAGACGGGCCAGGCCCCCATTCTGTGTTTCACAGTTTCATAGTTTGTTTGTAGGGTCGGAAGGGACCTGACCTGTCACGTGCATGAATTTGTTTTTTACTCAGAGGTCTCAGCTCAAAACCCAGCGGTCAGGTTTTGGCTTCTCATAACCATCCCAGCAGAGAGTTTCGCTTCCCAGGCTGTGAATTTCTGTTTGTCTCTGTCCTGCAGATCAACCCCATCAGCGGCATGTTCATGAACATTTCCACGCTTCAAGAGCACATGCAGGTAATGAGGCGATGGGTGCTCCTGTCATGCTGATTATAATCCTTTCGACTGGCAGCCACCTGGCAGGCCAGCGGGTATAGGTGTGCTGTGCTGTGCCTGAGATTTTAAGTTCCTTCTGTTACGTTTCCCAAGGCCCGGACATCCCGGGGAAAATCCACTGAGGGCAGAATTTATCTGGGACACCAGAAAAGCTGCTGCCCTGAGGCTGAATCCTGGCGTA